TGGATGTGTGATGGAGACTCCCTTGTGTAATTGTGCATTATGTATTATGTATATTTCGTCCCACTTGACCTAGGTGAAGAAGATTAAAGCTTTTAATGTCATACTCACAAGTAAATCCACAAAGCTCTTTTTGTGATGTAAATCTACACACACCAAGCTGTGACCAAGTAGATAGATAGGAGTGTGTCCAATTGTAACCATACAATGCAAATATTCAAAACCAATTTTTTTTATTTAACCAGGTAAGGCTCGCTGAGCTATAAAGCCTTTTTTCAGAAGCGACTGGCCACAAATAATAGCTCAACAAAGTAGCTTAGCATGTGTAAATGTATAAAGCAGCCAAATACTCTTCATGCATGTTGATTCTAAATGTGGAGGGCTAAACCGTAGAACCTGTAAAAAAATTCACAACACCACGGGGAGAGAGATATTCAAACTCTAAATAAAGTATACAGGTGCCCGGGTCAGGATCGAACCTATGGCCTCCTGTATACCAGGTGAGGTAGTTAACATCTCGCAAATATAATGGTGCTTGACGATTGTTGATGTACTGCTGGTGGAATGACACGTGGCAATTTCGGTATCCACTGCAGGAACCGTGAGAATCAGAACCTGTTCAGAGTTGGTGCAATGCCATCACCAGCGGACGTGGAGGAGTCATATTGATGGTACACCCGAGCAGATCTGAGGCCAATGCCTCAATATTAGTGTTGCGCCATACCAAGGCGCTGTAGGTCTCCTTTGGTCACCACCCTCACAGGCCGATAGGGGGCGGCCGAGAGAGTGAGCGGGAGGTGTGGTGGTTGACCTGGAGTAAAACCCCTCCTGGGTACCCCTTGACCGGAGGTGGAGACCCCAGACCCCCAAAGGGTGGGGGGCTCTGGGCTAGAGGCCAATGGTTCATTCCCGACCCTTCCAGACACTTCTGGAAGGTTTAGGGGTAAGTGTGGTTAGGGGTGGGGTAAGCCCCAACTTGTGTATAAAAGCCGGTCCTCTCAACGGGACCGGCAGTGTTCATCCACTCAAGACCCGAAGACATCTGAAGACTAGACCAACACCCTGGGATCCTCAACTGAGGCTCTTGTCAGAGCCGGGTTTCAGCGGACCAGCGGTGAGACCAGTACCCTGGCTAGGTCGGGTCAGTCTAGCCTCCCCTAGCTCTCGTAGTGGAGGACCCGTGAGAGCGTAGCCCGGAGTCTGAAGGGCCCGCTAGAAGGGAGGCTGTACCTCCCTTAGGTTATCGGGTGATGGGGCTGTACCCCGCAGTGTTACAGGGGCTATTGGTATTGTTATAATTTATTGTAATAAACACGTTGCCTCCAAGAGAGAAGTCTCACTTCCCGTTTATACCCACAACATTAGTATACATCCATCAAGCAGCAGGTAGAAAAATTCCCGTTGTTGGCAATGGTGATATGTTTAATCATTCTATTAGTAATGTATTGCCCTTCATTTACCCTGCAACATTTCATTGGTCTCGAGACAATGTACCCACATTGGTAAGTTTGGCCAATTCTATGAATGTTTGGCATGTGGGAGTGCCCTGAGAAAATAGAACAAGATACAAACATTAACGATTTCACTGCTGAACTACCATCTCCAGGGCACTTCACAAATATAGCCTACATCACCTGTTATTCCCAGGCAGACTCCCATCCAAGTACTAACCATGCTAAATCCTGCTTAGCTTCCAAAGTTTTAGTGCGTTCATGACGGTTTAGCTATTGTCACTTTGCCACGAATTAGTAGTGTGTGAGAACACAAACTTGTAGCAGACCACAGTCATTCGATGACTGTACAGTTGTAGTTACGACACTCCCTCTGTACACAGACTAATGGCTGCGCAAGCAACAGCTCCTGAGCCTTATCAGTCTGAAGGCAATCCCATCCAGGAGACTTTGATAATGCAAAGGAACTGTTATCTATCAAATCTAAATAAGACACTTGGAAATTGCAAATGCAGACATGCTTTCATCATTAGACTTTGTGATAAATACCACTTGTATACTGCACATGTGTAATGACAGGGTAACACCTGCTGGCCTGTCGGGGTAATTACGGTTATAGCTGCATTACATAATGCCTTATTATGAAGGGGCGTATCTGGGGTAAAGGTTCAGGGCGGAGTCATTCGAGAAGCTCCGGGAACCAATCCAAAGGTTCTGGAAAGGGGGCGTGGCCAGAGATGGAGCTTGTCCGTGCCAGGCAGATATAAGGAGCACCGAACCTCTGGTTCGGGGCTGTTAGTGTGGGGTCTGGGTCCTAGTTGCGTCGCTGCTGTCGTCATTTCTTCGTCTTCGACCACGTGACTGTTCTTCAGCAAGACCAGCTCTGTCACCGCCGCTACGCTCATCAACCAGCCAGCGTAGCGCAAGAACAGAGATGGGCTGCATGTTTGGACAGCCTAGGTGTAGCCGCGTTACAAAGTGTATCGCCCTGTGTGCTCTTAATGAATAAGAAGGCTTCTACTAGACGTGTGTCGGAAGTCGCTCACTACACATGCAAATGTAAACCATAATATATTGCAAATTGGTTGGCACTGCCTTTTGTAAGTAATGGTCTATGCAAGTTGTGCGTCTCTTTGTATTTATGTATGTGAGCAAGTATCTGCAATTGCAAGCACATCCGTAGCATGTGTGCCTGGCCAGCCTCTGCAACAATGTGCTTTCGGGTGAACTGCACACAGCCGACGGGCACCATCTTTCGGTTCACATGTCACAATTTGTGCCAGATCTGATCGCAATTTGAAGCGATTAAATATTCAAGCCGGAGTGAAGAGAGACGTGCTAATTCACTGCATCGTGCTGCCCCGCATGCCCGGCTGTGCGCAGTGGGCGGCTGCCGCTTTGAGTGGCTGCCCTCCAAAACGACGCTGGGGGGGGCGGCTGTCGCCGCACTGTTAAAGGGTTCCTTCTTCCTCGCTGCTCAACTACTCGCGGTGTTCGGCGAACGAACGTCCCGTCAATAATTCATCAACGCTATTATTTTTGGGGCTGCAAAAACTTACCGAAACTTTGACAATTTGTTTCACCTTTGTTACTTGTTGGGTACTCTTCTCTGGGCCTGGCAGATCTTGTTTGTTTCCACGTATTTTTGGGACATTGTTGCAAAGGCTCTCGGCTGGGCCAAAATTTGCCATGTAATGAAATATCTGAAACAGTTAAGTTTTTTATAATCTGACTTTAAATGTAATGAGTTCCATGGTTTTATGGTTTTCACTTAACAAATAAATAATCCTAAAACATTCTAAACCACCTACAAAACAGCTTTAATCTAACCTATATAATTCATTTTTTTGTCTGTCTGTCTGTCCGTCTGTCTGTTCGTCTGTGTACGCTCGCTTGCGGGGGATTTGGCACGCCCCGGGCCCCCCGCTTGGCAAGAAAGCCATCCTTTGGTGTGGACCAATCAGTTTCAAGGACAATGCATATATTATCATAGTATGTTTTTTGTTTGCATTTTGACTGCAGGTATTGTGGTTAATGCAGACATGAATCCTTGTAAAAAGGTTTCAGTTTTGTTGCCAAAAAAAGGGGAAAAACCCTATTATTACTATACAGTTAGTCGTTACTGCTATAGAGTCGGTAGATACTACTGTAAGCCCAGTAAATACTACTACGGTCAGTAGTTACTGCTACAATCAGCAAATACTACTACACAGTCAGTAGCTACTACTGGCTCAGTAGATACTACTGTACAGTCAGTAGATACAACTACAGAGTCAAGAGATACTACTTACTCTGTTGTATGTAGGGTGTGTAGGTATATATACCTATGCGGGGTTAAATATATTTTTTGAGGGGGGGGTTGTCCACAATTTTCAGAAACCTTTTAGATCAACCATTTACCTCACACTTTCTATTACTTTTTGGAGTTTTGCAAGCCTCTTATAATTTTGTTGGTGGTGAAATGGACAAATGGCCCACCGGGCTTTCACAATATCTTAGTATCTGTGTATGTATATGTAAGGTTTTTAAGATTAGTTCTAAAATATTTTTTTGACCTGGGCAACGCCAGGTACTTACCGCTAATAATTTATAATCCTGTGCTGCGCTTGTGAGTAACATTAAACATATACAGGATTGTACGTTCATATTCGCGAAAGCACGATGGCTGATATCACAGCAATGGCCTAACAAGCTTTGCATTTACACACTTGGAGTGGTTTTACCACAGACATTCACTAAAGACAAGTGGTCAAAATGGAGATTGAGAAGACCCGATGTGAAACCTATTTGTCCTGTGGCCCATGTTCACTGCCAATTCCCATCAAAAATACTTGTGTTGCTTGAAATTACAACGTTATACAAAGTGCCAGTGTGGACGTGTTTTTGCATTCTGAAAATTGCAAGTGGGGCATACCATCTTGTACTGGGCCGTATAGACCACAGCTAAATATAGCACAGGTAATCCAGCAGTGGGAGATAGGAATGGCTTCCCAGGAGTTGGACCGGCTGTACTCATGAATGCTTGGAAATGCACCAGAGGTTGGAAACACAGATCACAGCGGTATACACAAGTACACATTGCGTGGGTTGTTACATGTACGAATGAGGCGCGGATACAAGTGTGCATTAAGAGTGCTCTCTGGCCACTGGCTTGATCGGAGCCATGCCGTGTGGGCCGGTGGCACTGATCGCCACTGCTCAACCCAAACTATAAATACTCTGATACTTGCATTGCCTTTGTACTGTTTGCCTTTTGGGGTTCTCTGGTCTGACACTGGTGAGACTATGCCATAAACAAGGCTGCTGTCTCTGGTGTAGGCCAATCAGTTGCAAAGACAATGCATATATTTTCAGAGCATGTTTGTTTGCATGTTCACCACAAGTACGTGTGGTCAATGCAGACTTGATGCCTTGCAAAAAGTGTCTGTTTGGTGTTTGAACATCTTAACATCTGTTTAATTGCCAGAAAGGGTAAAACAATCTATTCTTATTTTTTTCATTCTCTCCTGTGTGTCTGTGGCATTGCCGTGCTCCGTGCTGCCGTGAAAGCAGCAAGCACTGGAAGCAACGCTGGGGCTGCTGGTGACGAGCAGCAACGAGCTGGAGCTTCTGCTCGCTCGCCTCCTCCAGCTTCACCAGCAAGTGGAGGTACGGAAGGAGGAGATGGCCGCGAACCCACCCCTGTAGAACACTGCTCATCAGAGCATTTCAGTGGACAATAATAATCTATGCTCTTCTCCTGGAACTGCGTTTCAATTAACTTATCTTTTACTAGTGACCATTTACCAGAGCTCGCAACTCTGTTTTTTGGGAATGAAAATAATTGCAGCATCTCTAGTCTGTCCCTCTATGGCTCGTGCCGTTTGACAGCTTGACACATTGTGCCTATTCACACAAAGACAAAAAAAACAAAAGCAGTTGAACTGTATTGCCCTCAGTTGTCTAATTCCTTGCATATTGCCATTGATCGCTGACCCTCAAAAACATAACAAGGTGGGGATCAATACCGTCAACATTATTTATACCGGCTTTGAAAATGTTTTCGACAACTTTGCAATCAATGCAGCCGACAAGACTTTCACTCCAACACGAGTGAAACTCTGAATTGCTTGCGAGCCTGACCGGAGTGGAGCTGCTACCCTCTTTCTCTTTACGCAACAATTGTAATATATGTGCACTGACATAACTCAAAGTATCCCCATTTGACATTAAATACATTTGCCAGAGTTGAAGCAATTTCTGAAAGTGGAGGTGGTGGGGAGGGGGGTTAGTTTTAAAGTGAAAGTGTTCTTTTTCACGTACATTGATATCACATTTAAAGGCAGGTCATATAATATCTTACTCGGCACTTTTGTCTTACAATTTAACATTAGCACACAGGCGAGCAATATATTCGTGAAAATGTATTTTATATCCAAAATACTTGGTGAATCGTACATATAAATAAATAAAAACTGCTTATGTAAATGCACTCGACTTATAAACATATACTGTAATTATTAAACTACTGCAATATACAATTTAACCCGAAAACATCGTCAAATGCAAGAAGATAAAACATTATTAGAGGCAGTCTGTTTTCCGATAACGCGGTAGTTGCGTTCCTGAAGAACACTGCATTATGGAAAAATTGCGTTATAATAATATATATGTAGTGACATCGCAGGATGTCACTGTAATGCCGGCCCTAGAGAGGCACGGCGTGCGGTGTATTGACATCGCAAAACCCACGAGGATGTGGGTGCAGTACCGGCCCTAGAGAGGCTCGGTGAGCGCTGATCGATAGCGCTGAATGGCACCACGCTTGGCGTGCAGTGCGGGCCTCTACAGGATAGGACGTGGGAGTGCCGGCCATGAAAATGGGGTTACTAAGGGCGTGGCACTCTGGTTGACCCCAGAGGACACGTGACCGATTAAGTCTACACAGGGGCCCCGAGTGGGGGCTAGGGGTGGTCACGTGTCAGGGTCGAGATCCTGCTCGAGGATTCTAGAAGGTGGTCGTGGCCAAGGGTGGAGCCAGCCATGCCACCGAGAATTTAAGCGGGGTCCCCCAGAGGGACCGGCGCTGTTGTTCATCCTGAAGAAATCTTCATTTACGTCCTACATTCTACATGTCTCCAACACGTGGACCTGGACCTGAGCTGTTGGTCCTGGTCCGTAGTAGATAGTTACGGTGTAATTAGTGTAGTTAGCCTGGTGGTCACCACCATAGGTTGTTATTCTGTAAAGGGGCAGTTACCCCGTGTGCTGGTGTTAAATAAATGTGTTGCCTCCAAGAGTAGTCTGCGACTCAGTTGAACTCACTACATATATAATTAATATAGGGTAAAGCACAGTCTGTGGTAACAGGTGAGATGCTTACGCAGGCTGAACAAAGACTGAGGAGCGTGGGTAGCATCTAGAAGCATCCAGCAGCATCCCGCCTTGTGTGATGTTATGCCGAGGCAGCCGCACAACCGTTGATTCCTACTCGCATGACGTAGTTCCGTTAACTCAATCGCGTTATATACAATTCGCATTTACGTTATAAAAAATGTGTTCTCTCATACATTCTTCGCATTATATTAAATTTGCGTTATGAACACACGTGGCATGATAGGAGAACAGACTGCATTACGCAAATTAGAGGCATCGTATTGGCCGTGACTAAACGTGCTGAGCTTGGGCAGGACACCTCATTGGAGACTCCAGCTTGTTCAGAATGCAGCTGCTAGAGTGCTTAGACATACACCATTCCGTGAGCATATTACACCAGACCTCTTATCTCTTCATTGGCTACCAGTCAAATTCCGAGTGGATGTTAAGACACTACTATTATCCTATAAGTCTTTAAGAGGGCTCAGCCCACATTACTAGCTGGAACTTACACATTTGTATATTCCATGAAGGTCCTTAAGATCTTCTGATCTACAACTGCTCAGCACTCCTAGGTCTTGGTTGTGCGCTCTTTTGGTGATCCCACTTTTGTTAGTGTGGCACCCAAGCTATGGAACACCTTGCCGCTTGAAATTAGGCACTCAGAGTCGGTAGATATATTTAAGTATGCTTTGAAAACCCATCTATTTAAAGTGGCCTTCCCTATATAGTGTGGTCAGTTGCCATGGTTCTGTTTTTTGTTTCCTGCTTTTCATGCATTGTGTATTTGGATCCTAGGATGGAATGCGCATTATACATTTGAATTATCTTTCTTATTATTTGCTGGTGGTCAAGACTAACGATGGAGTAGGAGCCAAGGAAGGGAACACGCCAGAGAGTATATCCACTGAGGAGATGGAGTGATGACACGTGGGTAAAGTTGGATTGCTACATCGAAGGACCATGGGAGATGGGAACAGCTTGGGGAGGACTTCATCCAGCAGTCGATTGATCATGGCTGATTGATGATGATGCTAATGGTTCTTAAATTATACTTGCCTTTTGCCCGTCCAAGGACGGGTGTATTTCAGTAAATCTGAAACTTGCAAGCGAAAAGCAGACCACGACATGATATTCATTGCATCCATTCGTGTGCAATTGGTAAGGCCGCGGTAACACAGACATATCATTTCAAAGTTATAATCCCTTGTTCATCATGACGTCCTTTTTACTTCTGTCTCAATAGCGTTACGGAGATCGCGTGACGTGAGGGTTCTGCCTTTGTAGGTAGTGAGGGTTGTAAGTTGACGCTGAGGAGGGGGGAGGAGGCGCCTCGCCCCCCCCCCATGTGGAGTGACGTCACGCGCGGGACACACAGACATTCTTGGCTCATAGTAGTAAATTCCAAAATTATAAAAAAATACTCCAACTATTATACCGCCTACGCAATAGCAAACATTATCACCACTGCCACTGGAAGGCACGAATGGAAAATGTAAACGAGCCTAGCTGCCTCACTTCACTCACAGCGCCAGACAACAAACAAAACAATGCCTAATGCAATTACGTAAACAACAGCAAACTACACTGACAGCACTGGGTCTCGGGTCAACGGAGTTTAAATCACTGACTCGTGATTCAGCTGCCCGTTCTTCAAGAGTCATGAAATTAAGGCCTCCATCTTACAAAGCTGCCCACAGCCAATCTCCACTGTATGGGAGGTCGCTCCTTCTCGGCTACTGCTCTCGCGGTCTGGAATTATCTTCCCCTTGAACTTTGCGCAGTCGAGACTGGGAACATTAACACCTTGTTTGTCTTCATGTGCTGGAGCCAATTCCTTTGTTTTGTGAAGCGACTTGAGATGTGTTTGCGTTTAGACGCTCTATAAAATGTAAATCGTGTAAGTAACCGCTTTGTGAACAAAAAACAAGCGTCGAATGGATGCTGAGCCTTGCCACAGGTATGTGGAATTTTCACCACGGGCTCGGCGTCACTGGGATGGCCCGATTCTTGTTTAAGCATGGAGAGACGGACTCCCTGTGTTGTCTCTCCTCTTTGTTCGTGAAGGAGAACTCGTCGATTCAGGAGAACAAGCTCGAGGGGGAATGTGAGAATCTGATGCAGATCATCCGCCAGAGGAAGCAGGCGATCAGCACCCGCATCCACGAGGGCAAGGCAAGTGCTCTCCTCCTGCTCTGTCAGAATCTGAATCGGAAGTTGATTTCTCCATCAAGTAAAGCCCATTGAGCTAAGAAGCTCATTTTCAAGGGCGACTTCGGCCTGCTTTGAAGAAGACAACTTCAAAGCAGGCAGGACTATAAGAGGGTTCAAGGAGGAAGCTGCAGAGTTGCATTCGCCATGCTAATTGCACCCCCTGATTTAGCACGGTTGGCTACATCCCGTCTCAATGAGAGGTACACTCTCATTGAGATGGGACGATGGTCCAGAATAATTATGGAGCTGCAGCCAAGGAATGGAACACGTCCGAGATGGCACCCACTATGGAGACGGAGCGATAAAATTATGCTCGTGTGCCGGGACGAGGTGGTTCTTTGGGGAGGCCTCCGGCCAGCAGTTGATGGATCATGGCTGCTGCTGATGATGCTGATGATGCTGATGATTGTGACTGCCCCTGTGGTGTGCGTGCAGTTTGCACGCTTGAGGAAGCTGGAGCAGCAGATGTCAGACTGCAGGCAGTGCCTGGAGCACTCCACCCTGCTCATGGGTCAAGCAGAGTATGGCCTCAAAGAGGCCGACCATGCGCGCTTCCTACAAACTGCCAAGGACATCACTGAGCGGTAGCGTCTCGCAATCACCCGCAGGCTTCACAGGCTGCTTCGTCTCCTCTGCACCGCGTTCAGCCAACCCCTTTGCAGCGAGCTCGCAGCACTCCTCTTTCTGCTTCTTCCCTCGTACTGCTCCGCTTCACAATCTCCTCCCGTTGTCGCTTGTCCCAAGCTCTTGCTTGACATAAAAATATATGTTTCAAAGTAAGAGGTCAATCTTCATAATAATTTGGTGGCATGCCTGAAAATCACTCGCTTCGCTTATATGACGCTTACAAATCATGTCCGCGAGCCTGGAAATCATACTCTTGGAAGGTGCCTACATGATTCAAGCCATCTGTGTGCACGGCGCTTTGAAGGATCCCATTTGAATAATCGATTTGCGTAACGCTGCTTCTTCCATGGCACGCAATGTGGTGCAGGTTGACCATGGCGACCGCCACGTCCCAGATGCTGTTGCCCGAGGTGACGCTCGGCGACTCATTCGATCACCTCACGCTCGACTTCACCAAGGAGAAGAAGCTCCTGGAAGCCTTGGACTGCCTGACGTGTAAGGTTGCCGAGCCGTGTGACCCGCGGAGAGGCTACAAACAAAAACACAATAGGGAGGGGGGTGCAACCACGCGTGGCCACGCCGGGTCGTGTGATGATACAGTACTCGGTTGGGAGATGATTCAGCCAATCGTTTCCATCTGAGGTGAACAAAATAGGCACCACTTTGTCAAAAGCCAACAATGGTTACCCTGTTACTAAAACTGACCGCCCCCATAGATGCATTAAATTTTATTATCGCTGGGTCACGGCCCAGCTCATGGAGATGTGCATAAGCTACCGTTTTAAGTTTGGGAACAATTTAATGTTTACTGTGATAATAACCATGGACAGATATTTACGCCATTTGACGATCTGGTAGAAACCGTGTATACAGAACATGCATAACATACAGAACATATACAGAACCTAGGTCCACAGTGATGACCTCACCTTTACCCCTCTATTTAATACCGAAACAGGAGGACTTCACAATTATGGCTATCGCCTGATGAACCTGGTTTTAATCACCAGCGAAACGTCATGGATGAATTGTGAATATTGTGGGTTTACTCTCTAACACATCGGTATGCTGAAGTAGTAACTAATTGGCACGTTTTTTTTACGTGACAAACCTTACGAATTTGCTGCGTCGGGTGGTGGCGGGTTGAACGACACATTTATATTGATGTGATCTAACCCAAAAAAACCTTTGTTATGGATAAATTGGTCGCGAAAGCCTACGTGTTAAACTATACAGAATATGCCTCGGACACAACCAACATCCCATCTTGTCAGATCTCCGAAGCTAAGCATGTTTGAGCCTGGATAGCGTTTGCATTGGCAACCACCTTGCATAAAAACCGGTGATGTAGGCTGCCGCAGAGCACCAATATGGATTGACCCACATGGTGAAGTATGGTCAAATGACCTCCACGACCCGTATCCAGCAGTGGATTGATAAAGGTCCACACGTGTAAATATAGAACATACCGATCTAACTGACTGCAATTCAGGAATATGTTTCATCAGCCAGGTGAGAGTCTATTGCAAAGCAGATCTATCCTAAGTGACTTGTCACTGCGAGGCCTTGTCAACATTCATGGTGCAAACGAGACCAGAAAAAGGACAGAAGGCCACCTCCTCATTCAAATTGAATACCATTCGGTCGGCAGAACTGAATGAACGCCTCACCTTCACTTGAAACATAGTTGTATTATTCAATGCAAGACTGTCATTTGAACCCTTTTTAGGTCCCGATATGGTGTAACCTCCTTCTGGAACACACATTTGTTTACATAACAAATTTTGCTTATCAGTAGAACTGGGTAACAAGGGCAATGTAAAAAAATGCTTCCTCCACCCTTCTTGCCAAGGTTCAGGAAGTTAAACATTTGCAAGTCCCTTTGATAGCTTTGATCCCTGCATTCCTTCAGAGCTTCTCTAATCCCTTTCAAATGGGATTTGAGCCCAGGCAATCATCACCAAGTGCATAATGCAAATTATAACTCTATTGAAATGACAATTGAACCCAGAAATGCTTCACTAAGTGGATTGTAAATAGATTTTTCGACTTCGTGAGGAAACATTATTATAGTAGTTTAATTCTTATCAGGCCCCCATGGTGTATCGAGTGCTGTCCCCAATTCTAATCCACTCTACCTCTCTCAATGTGCTGTAAAGAAGGACCATTGCCCAAAATGTCACCGATCATATACTGCCGAGTTATTGACAGGTCACGGGTTATTTCGGATCAATGTTAATTCCTATTATAAAATATCAAAGTAATTGTTCTGGGTGCGTGAGGGTTGTGAAAGGACGTGTGTGAGTGTATGTGGACCTGCTGAGGCAGCACAGAGACTTTACCGCGGTGACGATGACATTTTCATTCTCCTCTCAGAATCTTTTTTTCTCACAAACTGGATGATGGGAAAAATCACTCGTCTCTGTGTGTGCACCGGGTTACCGAGATTACGGGGGAGTTCCGCTGTCATAATAATTATCCCCAACCACGCAGGTATTACGTGCATGTGTGAGACTCTCTGCAAGAGCCGTGGATTGACAAAGGGCTGAAAATGATTCATTTTCTACACATCTCTCCCCTCCGTCTTGTAGAGTAGTGCATTCTCTCTCACCTCATTTACTTTCACTGAAATACCCATCGATAATCTATCCACTCTGCCTTATACCACCCTCAATCTGCATGTCCCAAACCTCACATGCTTTACAGATGCATAAAAAACATCTGAATGCTGCACCGGCGTATTTTTGTTTTTGATGTACGAGTTTCATAACTCCTCAGCCGATAGAGACCATTGCAGTAGTGGGGAGAAACGCTCAACAACAAGAGCGTGTGTAACGCCAATGATGCACACCGTTTGGAAAAGAGCACACGAGCAAAACGGAAGTAGCGTTTTTATGGTTTGAGAAGCTGTATTATTTAAAGTGAATAATGGACAGCTTATTGCCGGCACCCGTAGAAGTAGCGCTGTGAAAAGGAACCGAGCAAACGTCGAGGCAGCCCTCTTGGCTGTCGCCCACGGCGCAGGAAGCTTCGCATGAGAGCGTTGGCATCTGTGCGCATCAGCGGTCATGGAATGTAGTGAACGATGGTCCAGTGTGCTCATCCTCTGGAAATTCATACCGCATCTCTCATAGCTCTTGACTGGATGTCAAAACTCTTCCCCCGTAGGACATCATCAGTCATCACGGAGGGCTTACCACACAACAACAATGCACCCATAGCGTAGTATGTGTCTACCAGCTACTCTACATTACCTGAAGGAATTTTAGACCCGGCTCTGAACGGATATTAATTAATAATTTCACTACAGTTCTACAGATTAAATGATTCCACCAATATGATGCTAAACAGTGTGACAGAAAAGACTAAACTGCTAATGTGGGCACCTGTGTTCACAAAATATGTCACGAAGCCATTCATACACAATACCTGTTACATATTTTCATTATGGGTGTTTTTGTATCATCATGTAAAAAACAACGTGTTCATTAGTGTGGCAGGGCGGCGCAATGGTAGAGCACTTAACCCACAAGGGCAATGTTGTCAGTTAAAATCCACACGTGTTCTCACGTGAGGAACATGGGTATCACTCTATGCAAAGTCAACAGAAGTCGTCAGTGGAGAATCTCACCCTTGCCATAAGAAAGTGGAATTTCCACCACCAGATCAGGACTACCAAAAGAGATGAGCACTACCCAAATCTCATCTGAGTATACATGTTGGATATATATGTTCAGTATATGTAAATATATGTATTTTATAAAATGCCTCTGGGCAATGTTGTTATTGTTCAGTAGCTTGTAAACAGAGAGACTGGCTTCTGTCATAGGAGAGTGTAAAATCGATTAACATCACCAGCTCTCTGGGTCACCAACAGCAACGTACGGACAGTACCCAATCGTCGTCCATTTTCTTCGAGGAGACGCGTTGCCCTAAACTATAAATTCTTTTTATTTTACTCAGTAAGGCCCACTGACCTATATAGCTCTTTTTCAGAAGCGACGTGGCCACAAATGATAGCTCAATGAAGTGGCGTATCATGTGGAGATTTATAGCAGCCAAATACTCAACGCATTTTTCTAAATGTGAGAAAATCCAGGGATTCCGGGGAGAACATGCAAACTCCATATATACAGTGGGCGTCAGAGTCGGGGTTGAACCCACAACCTCCTGTATAGCAGGCGAGAGGTCGTTAACATCTCGTCACCGTGTTGACCCAAGGTGTTGTGACGCGTGTCATGGCAGCGCCCAACACTCCAGTCATCAAGAAGGACCTGAGCATGGCATCGCACGACAGCGTGACGGTGCAGTGGGTGTCCGACGACGAGTTCAACGTGGAGTCGTACGAGCTGCAGTACACCATCTTCACCGGACAGACGAACCTCCACAGTGAGCGAGCAGCTGCCAGTCAGCACATTTGTCATGCGCTCATTTGCACCCAAGCCAATTCTGTCATCGCAGAGTGTGTGCATGCGCACACACACACACACCTGCGAGCTGTTTGCATAGAACGAGTGTCACTAAACGATGCGCTATTTGGTGGCCAATCAAACCATGGCTTTTCCTACGTCTATATGTATGTTGAACTTCTTTTGCACCGTACATAGCCAACTGTGCTAATCGGAGGTGAAGGGGATGGACAACACACTAAACACGAGAAGCCTTGTTCCCTGCCGTAGAATTGTTGTGTTTTACTACTAGATACAAAAATATCTATACCGGGTAAGGTGACCTGGCCGCAAATGAGAGCTTAATTAATTAAAATACATGCGACCACAGGAAGAACATGCAAACTCCAAATATACAGGCGTCTCGGGTCAGGATCAAACCTGTGGACTCCTGTATACTAGGCGAGCTAGTTAACATCTCGCTGCCATGGCGAGCTGTTATGAAGATTGCCAAATGCTCAGGATCGTTTTGTGCACTCCTCGGTGACCAGGCTGCCACGATCAAGATGCTAAAGCTGCAAAAAAACTCAATATGTGTTGCCGTGGAGCATTGTATATATTCATAACTCCATTCTGTATCTCCACATATACATTAAACATATATGATTTTTGGTTATATATGTGTAAACTGATACATTTTTCAGTTTTACATGGAGGCTTCCGCGACCAATAGCCATAATACAGGTTTTTGGGGTGAGATCTTGTAAATATTTACGCGATCTAAAATACATTTTGTATTTCTAAGTGGAGTAATAGTGGAGTTCTGTTTATTTACTCTTTTACCCATTATACTTCACGGAAATGCATAACGTTCTTGTATATGGTATTACTTTGTGTGTTGAACAGGGTGCAGACATTGAAATGGAGTCTACCTTCTGGTATTTGTTTAACAAGCCTGATGAGGCCCAGAAGGTCGGAGCTGGTGGAGAGTTTGCTTGCTTAAACAAATGCTGCTTGATATTGGTCTGGAAAGCTAATGGGCCGATGGACTGATGCAGAGACACAGACCCAAGCTTTTCTTGAACTTTCTGAACCTGAGAACGTGGTTTAATGATGTAGATGCTCACCCCGAGCCCTCATTACTTTGATAGTGCATTGTCTTTGAGCTGTACGTCTTTTGGCGTCATCTGGTCGAGCACCAATTGGGTCGAGGCTCAAAAGAAAGCCGTCCCTTGGTGTGGACCAATCAGTTTCAAGGACAATGCATATAGTATCATAGTATGTTTTTTGCTTGCATTTTGACTGCAGGTATTGTGGTTAATGCAGACATGAATCCTTGTAAAAAGGTTTCAGTTTTGTTGCCAGAAAAAAGTGGAAAAACCGTATTATTACATTTTGGTACTGGCAAAGGAAGTCTAATGATGTGGATGCTCACCCCGAGCCCTCATTACTTTGATAGTGCATTGTCTTTGAGCTGTACGCCTTTTGGCGTCATCTGGTCGAGCACCAATTGGGTCAAGGCTCAAAAGAAAGCCGTCCCTTGGTGTGGACCAATCAGTTTCAAGGACAATGCATATATTATAGTATGTTTTTTGCTTGCATTTTGACTGCAGGTATTGTGGTTAATGCAGACATGAATCCTCGTAAAAAGGTTTAAGTTTTGTTGCCAGAAAAAAGTGGAAAAACCCTATTATTACATTTTGGTACTGGCAAAGGAAGTCTAATGATGTGGATGCTCACCCCGAGCCCTCATTACTTTGATAGTGCATTGTCTTTGAGCTGTACGCCTGTTGGCGTCATCTGGTCGAGCACCAATTGGGTCAAGGCTCAAAAGAAAGCCGTCCCTTGGTGTGGACCAATCAGTTTCAAGGACAATGCATATATTATCATAGTATGTTTTTTGCTTGCATTTTGACTGCAGGTATTGTGGTTAATGCAGACATGAATCCTTGTAAAAAGGTTTCAGTTTTGTTGCCAGAAAAAAGGGGAAAAACCCTATTATAAACGTGGTTTAACTCGTGGCGTACGCCGGCCGCCTCTCCGCGTAGGCCTGTGCAGCAGCGTGGACAGCTGGCTCATCGTCCCCAACATCCGGCACAACCACTATACGGTGCACGGCCTGCAGAGTGGCACTCGCTACATTTTCCTTGTCAAGGCCATCAACCAGGCCGGCAGCCGCAGCAGCTCCTGCGTCACGCTCAAGACCAACAGTGAGCGCCACCCCGTGTCGTGCGTTGAGTCTGCAGCACCGCGATACGTCGGCGTGCCATTAAGACACGCACCCGCGAGTCTTCACCTGCAACGTGCCCGCTTCTGGCTGTTGGCTAACTATCGCACGAAGGCGGTCACCGCATCGCACACTTTCAGATGCGCTTCTGCAGCCGTCCGGAATGCTCTTCCGACCGATATTAGGAAGCCACTGGAGCTATGCACTTTTAAATCGTCTAGATTTAAAACTAATTTCTTTACAATTGCTTTTTGTGTTAAGTTTGTTGTGCTTCCTCCGCACCTCCGATTAGCATGCTTGGCTACTTACGGGGCGAAAGAAGTTCAACATACATACAAGCTGTTTAAATACAATGTTGTACGCGTTGATATACAAGGGGGCAATAACTTCCATGTTCTCATGACAAGAGGGAGGGTATTATGGTTTCTTGTTTCAAGATATGTTTTGCTTCAAGGTTTCCAAAATTTTAATTTTACTCTCCGTCAGAGTGTACGTTTCCATTTTTACAAGTCATCAGGTGCTACCAAGCGTAACAGATTTATTTGCATTTAAATGAAGAAGACCATTGTGACTTGATCTACTCATGTTACATTAACATGGGCAGAGTAATGATAGTGGTTAACTATAATGAGATGATGAATTCTTAATTCGTGACCCATAATTAAAATGTTGTCGTTTATGTATCACACGAATGTGTATCTTACTATCCCAACTTTTTTTTACATTTAAAGAATGGTGTATGATTATCATTGTGTGTTAACTTCATTATGTCGTTAACACCAAAGGGTTTTCTTACATTCTTGAAGTGAGCACAATTTGACCAAGGAAGGTGACATAAAATAGTGATGACATTGCCACAAAAATGTAATAAATGTTTATCTAAAATGTTTTCGTCTTCCCCAAATTTTCCAAATTGTGTCATGTCATTAAATATATCCATTCGGATCCCGCTGAGCAATGTAACCGTTTATGTTAGAGAACAGCCCACGGAAATAGATATCACAGAGCTACCTTGGAGTTCCCTTCTCGTGACTTCCGCTCCTCCAAATGGTAGGGGGCAGCACCTAGAGGAATGTTCATAGCATGACAGTCAAATAAACATTTTTTATTCTGAGTTAGCCTAAATAAGTGCAGAACCTAATGTATTACGATGCTCTGTTTTGCACTTAATGGTGACCATGCTGAGATCATCAGCTCAATAGACTTGAGGACTGCCAGGATTCAAACCCAGGATCTCAGTGGAGCCAACTCAGTGCCTTTACCTCTTAGCCGCTCGGCCACCTCTGCCCCAGGGTGTCATTTAAAGCGGCAGTTAAATATCCAACTTGGTGGCACCGTGCCAGAGCGCTCAGCCCACAATCATAAATTGGGGGTCAACTCTGCTCAACATTCCTCATCGCCATTGAGATAAATGCCATGTCATGGGAAGTCATCGGTCTGTTGTCCCACGGAGAAACATACGCCAGCCTTGGGAATGTGGAATTTCTACCATTGGCCCCCTGATCTTGCCACAGAAATGAGTACTGCGGCACACTTAATTTGTAATTAATGATTATGAAAATTAAAATGTTTATTAATTTTTTTTTTTCAGGATTCGAACCCAGGATCTCAAAAAACTCCTCTTTTCTGAACATACATGGACTCGTCCATCTGAATAACTGCCAAATCGCTCTCCGTGGTGCTAACGTTAAAAAAAACGCCACTTTTTTCATATGTTCTTGCTTTGGTTTTCACACCGGATGATGATTGCTTGTGTTGCAGTCGAAACATCGTGATAATTTTATTGTTTTATATTTTTATTATTTTATTGTTTCCCTTCTACGTGACTTTACCGAAAGAACCAAGAATATGAATCCCTGCAGTCACGAAAGCTTTAAATCAAAATATAAGTTTTCATTAAATATAGTTTTTCATAATCATTGCCTGGCATGGAGAACTGTAGTTTCATGGATTACCCAAGATCAAATATAGTTAGGAATCGGTGGATATGATGAATAAGTTACTCACAAATTACTTGATTGGGAAACTGTAAAACAACATTGGACCATACTGGTAGACTCATGCCCACTTATAGGCCGGAGCTGCATTCACCTTGGGCCTCATACTGGTGGTCCCCTTGGCCAGGCTGCAGCAGAGCATTTAAACCATTGAGATTGGATGTGATTTAAGGGGGCTTTGAGTTACTGATGAGTTTAAGCAAGCACCACTATAAAATTAAATGCTTATCCTTGCTAACATAGTTGGTAATTACTTTTCAGAGGCGAGCAAACCTCTGCAAAAAAGATAACAAAATATTTATTTATATTTAGTGACTTGCTTACCATTTTTTATATCTTGCACTCCTCCAGTTTTTTTGTATTGGTTGCTGTTCTAACTTGCTGAGCCACCCAAGTACCAGACATCTGTGAAAGAGAATTTGATAGCTCATCGGATTCCTCCTCCAGTCTCAATAAAGATTCTGAGGATTGTGAACCAAACGCGGGGTTTTGCGATGCACCATCTCAGACACAGCGTGGGTGTCCCCCCTCGCGCAGGCCAGCCGTTTAAGCTGGACCCCAGCTCGGCCCACAAGAAGCTCAAAATCGGCAACAACAACCTTACGGTGGAACGCGAGGAGCCCTCCAAGAAGAACCACACGGCGGAGCGCTTCGGGGGGCACAGCTGCTACGGCGTGGCCGGGAACGTCCTCATCGACAGCGGACGCCACTACTGGGAGGTGCTCACCAACGGCAGCACCTGGTGAGTGGATGCACGTGCAAGCGAAATATGCTATATTAGTTAGTTCACGTTAATAACATACCGAACACTTGGTTTCAGGTACAGTTACCATCATAATGCCATCCTGCTATAGGCCAGTTTATTCTTGAGGAGTTATAATAAGCAATGTACAGAATTAGGTTTGAAGCTTTCGTGACTGCAGGAATTACTCTTTGGTTCTTTCGGTAAAGTCACGTCGAAAGAAAATAAATTTAATAATAAAATACGACATTTCGATTGCAACATAAGCAACCATAATCAGGTACGAATGAATGAGAAAACAAACATCTAACAAAACAGTCAACATCCTACCTGGTTGATTACGTTCTTCCAAAGAATGCTAAACACACACAGCCACACACACAGAGCATTCTTTGGAAGAACGTAGTCAGCCAGGTAGGTTTGTTGACTGTGGGGAGAATTTGCCGTGTTTGCTTACGTTTTTGTTTCACACATAACTTCTAATTTAGCAATCTTTGGAAGAATGTAATCAACCAGGCTATGCGTTTAACTGTGTGTTAACCGACTCTCTCTTGTTGCATTGCATTACACTTCCTAATTTTACTCAACTTGCTTTCTCCATGCTTGTTTGGTAAGTCTATTGTCTCTCCTCCGGCCTCTATGGGCTGGAATTCCACACAACTATCCATGCTTGTTTGTTTAGAAGTCCAGTGTCGCTCCTCCGCCCGCTATGGGAAGGAATTCCACGCAACTCTCTCATTGTTTTCTACCCCACCCCCCCCCCTGCCCCACCCCCCCTCTCTATTTATGGCCTCGACACTGAGGTGTTGTCTTTCTGTGTGTCTATGTGTGTGTCCCTCTCTGTGTGTCTCTATGGCAAAACAACCCCCTACCTCCTTGTGGTGCCGGACAGGCAATGCTGTCGTGAGCAGTGCCGTGGGGGGAGGGCCAATTCAGATTGGCTTTTCCCCTCATGGCGTTTGTAGCCACCACAGCGGCCAAATGGGGGCTCTGGATGGGTGTGAGGGGCTGGTAACCACTCCACCTTCAATTAACTACCATTAAACTACGAGGTAAAACATATATTAAGCATGTGCCGGAGGCCCCGGGGGGACAGGCGTCTATGACGTCTCCTGGCCAAACCCCATTTGGCGGAGCCAGGAGACTGAATCCTTACCCTCGGGGCTCCACCAGAAACAACAAAAAACCACTGCATATGGTCACGTGGAATATTAAAACGCTCACTGCGGAGGAGAGCCTGCCACTCCTTTGTCGGGAGCTGGACCGGTACCACCTGGATCTCTGTGGTATTCAGGAGATCCGGTGGACCGGCTCTGGCTCCTGCCACCACGAGGGGTGGACAGTCCTCTACTCGGGGCAGGAGACTGCCAAACAACAGGGTGTGGCTCTTCTTCTGAATAAATAATGAAGGGGGCGTGGGAGCGTGGCGGTGAGGTGTGGGAAGCTGTAAGCCCCAGGCTACTTTGGGCTTGCCTTCCCATCAACCAGAAGTGAGGAGTGGTGGTCGTGGTTACTGATGCCCCCACTAAAGACGGACATCCGTGGAGGGATGCAGGCAAGGCTGATGAGTCAGATGCCTTCTATGACCTTCTGTTACAGGTGCTAGCTAAAGTGGCCCCTCGGGATAGAGTCATCTTGTTGGGTGACTTCAATGCCCGAGTTGGTCATGATGCTCGCACCTGGTCTGGAGTAATTGAAAGGCATGGGCCAGATCAGCTCAATAACAACGGCAGGAGGCTGCTAGATTTTTGTGCAGCCCATGGGCTTGTAATTACCAACACGCTGTTCCGGCATCGGCACATCCACACCACATCATGGATGCATGCCGGGTCCAAGCAGGAACATCTGCTGGTCTACGTAGTGACGGAACAGCAGATTCGGGCGCATGTCCTTGACACCAGGACCGACCGTGGAGCTGATCTGCCCACTGACCATCGACTTGTCATCTGTAAGATGCGCCTGCCATTCTTCCACTCCGGTGGTGGGTGTACACCCAGGACCCCATTCAAACCCTTAGTGGCATGGTCTCAGCTAGCTGATGAAAGTTGCAAGCGAGAAGTTCATCATCGCTTGCGCCTGGGGTTGGCATCTTCCCCCACTCCTAATGTTGAGGGGAAATGGGTGAGGTTTAGGACTGTGGCTCATGCAGCTACAATGGCTGCTTTGGGTACATGGTCCAGACCTCCCCAGAGACCCTGGCTGACAGAAAAGGTGTTCAAGCTGACTGAGAAAAAGTGACAGGCCCACTCTCATCGGCTACAGCATCCCACGTCGGAGAATGAGAAGGTTTATTGCAGCCTTCGCTTGGGAGGTTCGGAGAGTCGTTAGGCGCTGCAAGGATGGGTGGTGGTCGCGGGTTGCTGAGGAGATGGAGTCTGCCTCAGTGGCCTGCGATCACAAATCGCTCTTTAACTCCATCAAAAAAGTAACCTGCAGCACCACACCTATTCCCATAATTAGGGGAAAGAACGGTGATCCAATCTCTGACCCCCAGGAACAGGTTTGTAGATTTTCTGAGCATTTATGTGAGGTCCTGGGGGAGGGGAAATTGCTCACCAAGGAAAATAACATGGGACAAAGTGGGGATGACCCTGCGGTGCCTCAAATATTGGAAGAAGTTACCCCCTGTGAGTGGCTGGCTGAGGTGCCGTCTGTGGAGGAAGTACTGAGGGCGATCCAGAGTCTGAGACCAGGAAAGGCACCGGGCAGAGATGATCTCCCAAGCGAAATGCTGAGGGAGGGTGGCGTTTGTGCACAGACTGCCTTACATGACATCATAACAACAGTCTGGACCACTGGACGGGTTCTGCAGGATTGGAAGGATGCCGTGGTGGTCCCCCTCTTTAAGAAGGGGGACCGCACAGACTAATAACTACAGGGGCATCTCACTCCTCATTGCCGGGAAAGGTCCTGGCAAGGATTATTCAACATCGCCTTGCTAGGCGCGCTGAGGAGAGGCTTGCGGAGCCCCAATGCGGTTTCAGGAAAGAGCAGTCCTGCACAGATGCCATATTTTCTGTTCTTCTGCTACAGCAGAGGTATAGGGAATTCCAACAAGACCTACATCTCTGCGTTATTGACCTGGTCAAGACCTATGATACCATCAGTAGGTTTGGGCTCTGGGTTGCTCTTCGTGCTTTCGGAGTCCTGACCCTCTGCTCACGATAATAAAGGACTTTCATGATGGTGAGCGGGCCTGGGTAAAACTACGTGGCTGGGAGTCAGAGCCATTCCCTGTACACCTTGGGGTGCGACAGGGATGTCCTCTGGCTCCCACATTATTGAACATCCAATTTGACTACGTAGTTCGTTAAGCCTTCAATAACTGTACCGGAGGAATTTCCATCTGGTACATATACAATGGGTGCGGTCAAGGGATGGCTCCCTATTGATCAACCACGTTATGTATTTTTCGATTTGAAGCTTTCGTGACTGCAAGGATTCATCTTCTTTGGTTCTTTCGGTAAAGTCATGTAGAATGAGAATGAAATAATAAAATAACACAATAAAATTCTCACGACGTTTCAGCCACAATGCAAGCGGCCGTCTTCAGGTGAAAGGTACAGAACTGTCGGGACGACAGAGCTTCAATGAACGATGTTAAGATTCGTAGCGACTTTTAAGCTGGTTGGGAGAAGTGAGGCACCTTGACAAATCCTTCAGCTATTGATTTGTAAACCCCTTTGTCAAGGTACCTCACTTCTCCCAACCAGCTTAAAAGTCGCTACGAATCTTAACATCGTTCATTGAAGCTCTGTCGTCCCGACAGTTCTGTACCTTTCACCTGAAGACGGCCGCTTGCGTTGTGGCCGAGACGTCGTGAGAATTTTATTGTGTTATTTTATTATTTTATTCTCATTCTACGCGACTTTACCGAAAGAACCAAAGAACACGTTATGTATGCCGATGATCTGGTAATTGCTACTCACTCAGAGGAGGAGTTGGAGGCGCTGCTGCTGAACCTGGAGCTTGCCACAAAGAGGTGGGGCCTTACCATCAGCCCCACCAAAACTAAGCACCTGCCTGGGTATTTTGTACCATCAGACACTCCACCCCCACAACTCCCAATTGGTAGGGCAGTTGTGGAAAGAGTGGAGAGTTTACCGTACCTTGGCAGTGTGCTCATTACTGGCTCCTGTTTAACAGCAAAGGTCTCACTCCGAATCAGTCGAGCGGCATTACCTTTTCATCGGTTGCGTAACGCTGTGTGGAAGCTAACTGGTCTCTCGCTCCACACGAAGTTTCAGGTCTTCTGGGCCACAGTCATTCCCTCCCTTGTCTACATTTGCAAAACGTGGACCCCCCTAATGAAACACCTTCGCCGGTTAGAAACATTTAGGCTGGTCTGCCTATGATCCATCCTGATTTTAACCAGGCTGGATTGTGTGAGGAGCTCACAAATCCTTGAAAGATCTGGACAAAGTCCCATCGGTGAGCTCCTCCGGTAGGCAAGGCTGCGTTGGCTGTGTCGTGTAGCCCACATGCCCAGCCACTGCATGCCTAAACAGCTTTTGTTCGACCGGATCGAGGGGGCAAAACGGCCGCGGCACGGGCTAAAGAAGAGATGGAGTGATGTGGTACAGGAGGATGTGGAGCTGAGTGGACTTTCTGATGACTGGTACCAGCGGTGTCAAGATCGGCCTCTGTGGAAGAGGCTCGTGAAGGACGCAACTGGGCATTTGGAGGCCGTCGCCCTCCAACAACAACTTAGGGCAGAGGAGCAACGCTCACAACAACGAGCGGAGCGCTGGGTGGCTAAAGTACAGCAGGTTGGCACAGTAGGGGGCACAGGTGGTGCACCAGCCAGTCATCTCAGTCAGTCGACCCGTGGCACCTGGGTCTGCCCCGTGACCTCCTGCCCGCGGGCGTTCGACACTTCACGTGGCCTCAAGGTGCACATGGCCTGGCACAAGCGTCGTGGTGATGTCACCACCACTTAGTGGCGAATGGCGGTTGTTGTTGTGTGAGTCGCTATGTGTGTGTGTAAGTTGACATGTATGTGTGTAAGTCGATGTGTGTGTGTGGCTCTATGTGCGTGTGTCAGTCGATGTGTGTGCCTGGCACACGCATCCTGGTGACGTCACCGCCACTTAGTGGCGAATGGTGGTTGTTGTCTCTGTGTGTGTTTAGCATTCGTTGGAAGAACATAATCAGCCAGGTGGGATGTTGGCTGTTGTGTTAGATGTTTATTTTCTCATTCACTCGTACCTCATGACGATTGCTTGTGTTGCAATCGAAATGGTGTATTCTATTATTATTTAATTTATTTTCTTTCTACGTGACTTTACCGAAAGAACCAAAGAGTAATGTACAGAATGTTCATAATTGGCACGGATAAATTAGAATATAATTGCATGTTATTATAGAATATGATTTACTCATCTGTAATGGTTAGTTTCTAGTTTAATTCTAATTGTTATTGTGCTGTCATGACATCTCTTTAAGAAGCTGGATCAGGTGACACACTTATTCTGAATTCGTGGATTTTATTCTGACTTGGCTGGACGTTTTCCTGAAAAAGCTAATTTGCAGTTTCATGCAAGAGATATCTAATTGTTAAATTCACTTTTGAGAAATTTCCTTCAGGTTATCGGTGAGCTTGCTAGCCAGCAGTGAACTGGATCCTACCAACTTTTAAATATACAATTATACTCTCGGGAGTATTCATGCAGAGTTAATCATATTATCCCTGTTCATGAAAATAACGTCAGATAGGCATATATTAATTTATGGATATATGCGGATAGGATACATTTTCCACGACGTCCAGGTGACTCCTTTATATGAAAAATAAGAATAGGTTTTACTATTCACATACATGTGGTTAATGCAGACTTTATTCCTTGCAAAGGGTATCTATTTGGTGTCTGAACATCTTAACACCTGTTTCATTGCCAGAAAGGGTAAAACGTATTCTTATTTTTCATACTTTGATACTGGCAAAAAGGCAACCTAGATATGACTCCTTTTTATCTGCCAAGACGTGAAAAGGATGAATTTGGCATTTCTGTTAGACCACCTTGTGGCAAATCACCCGCGCATAAACACGCATAATAGACGACTTTGCTGCCACTTATGGGCGGCTCCTCATGTTTGCAGATAGGCACTGAAAATAAATGTAATACTTTTTGTAGCTCTTCATCGTGAGAGAAGGAGGCTTCGTTAATGAAAAAAGCCAAGGTCGCGAGCACTGGCACACAGTGCTCTCGTGACGTCACTGTGCCAGCGACCTCACGATGCACAGTGCGGAGTGGAGCCTCACTGCCACGTGAATGGGGTTCGGCGTGCACAGCGTACGTCAGAGAGAGAGCCGTGCTGAATCCAGGAGGCCATTACACAGGGTGCCTGTTGTATATTTGGAGTTTGCATGTTTTCCCTGTGGTCACGTGTATTTTTCCCCCGGTTTTTCCCTTCAAAATTATAAACATGCGTTTGAAGTATTTGGCTGTGAAAAATATCTATGTAATAAGCGACTTCGTTTAGCTATCATTTCTGATTGCCAGGTCGCTTCTGAAAAAGAACCATAGAGCTCAGTGGGCTTAACCTGGTAAAATAAAAATAAAATAGTTTGAGAGGTGAGGTGTAAATTGTCTTCGTTTGTGTGGATAATCGTTGCATTTGCAACTAAATAAAACAATACGAGTTTGTTAGGTGATGATCGAAACGTCGTTATCTACTATTATTTTTCTACGTGACTTTACCAAAAGAAACAAAGAATATGAATTCCTGCAGTCACGAAAGCTTCAAATCAATAATTATATATTTAAATGTAATAGGAGCATAGAGGCAAATAAAAGCATGGTGGAGTCCATTTTGAATACTGATCTTGATATGGAAAAGCAGCACACCCATTGTGCCTTAAGCTGAAAGTATTCAGTCACTGGATATTGTCGGCTGTGTGCGAATGCATCAGACACTTGGACACTGACAAAAAAATAAACAAAGCTGAAAGGAAGCATGAAGAGATGGATAATCAGAACTACACTGAGAGACACAATGAGGAATGCATGAACCGGTGAACAAACACACATCAGGGACGTCATGTTGGCTGTTAAAAATGTCAGTGGGTTTGGGCAGGATACACCGCTTGAAGGGATAATTGGCAATGCATGTTAATGGGGAAAAGAGTGGCAGCCAAAGGAGATAACACCAAGAGGATGACTACCACAACACCCATAGAATTTCACAAAGTAGCGTGAGGGTTGACCTGCAGGACTAAAGTGTCCACACCGGTGGTACGAGGGAGGCGTATTGTCATCACACTTCTCAGCCCTCGGGCTGATTAATGCAGCTTGTCCATTTGTTAATATGACTTGGCAGAGCCCTCTCCAGCACAGCCTCGCTCCAAAGAACAACTCAGTCAGATTTTATCTTTCATATGCACGCATCCGTGTAGCCGAGCGATGGGCTGAATACATTTGTGTTTCTTGCTTGGGTCTATATTAAATGGAATGTTTCTTGGTTAAAAATTATGTTCTACTACTACTTACCATGATGGGACTATCCAAAAAAAATCTGCAATTTTATTTTCAAAATCCTACATTTTCCAGATTATCTTGAATCAAATATACAGTAATCCAATTTACATTTTTATTTAAAGCTTTCGTGACTGCAGGGATTCATATTCTTGGTTCTTTCGGTAAAGTCACGTAGAAGGGAAACAATAAAATAATAAATATATAAAACAATAAAATTCTCACGACGTTTCGACTGCAACACAAGCAATCATCATCAGGTGTGAAAACCACAACAATAAAAATTTGAAAAAGTTGCGGTTATTTTTAACGTCAGCACCACGGAGATAGATTTGACTCGCCCATCTGAACAAACTGTCAAATATCTCTCTGTGCGGCTAACGTTAAAAATAACCGCCACTTTTTTCTAAATTTTCTTGTTGTGGTTTTCACACCTGATGATGATTGCTTGTGTTGTAGTCGAAACGTCGTGAGAATTTTATTGTTTTATATATTTGTTTTTATTATTTTATTGTTTCCCTTCTACGTGACTTTACAGAAAGAACCAAGAATATGAATCCAATTTACCTTCATTGAATAACCATACAATGTGTACACCTTAGCAAATGCACAGGCTACAGCATTGTATCATATCCTAACTTCTACACGTGTGGTGTTGTTGCGTGAAGAGCAAGTAAAATAACGTGATTTCTTTTGCAAGTGAAGCCTCAATGAGTCTCAAGACTTTTAAAGAAGTTTAATGCACTGGGATGTTTGACCAATTCCTTAAATGGCTTGCATGTGGAAGCAAATCGGAGCAGCCAGAAAACGCCACGCATCAACGGAAAACGCTAAAAATCATCAGGCACAAGGTCAAACATCCATTTGTCAAATGCTTGGGGCAATGGGTGGTTATTGCCCCCCTCCTCTCGAGACCCTGAAAATTGATACAGTACAGTATGTCATGGATATTTGGCAGAGAAAATAAACATCGATTTATTTATTTAAATATATTTAGATGTCGGGAAGTTTTAGAGATTTACTTCTGAATCCACAAACCCTACCCTGCAAAGCACCGGTTAACAGCAGTGTACCACCTCCCGTGGGTACGCTGCACCAAGACTAATGGTCCTCCCTTGACCTAATGGCACGTGACCCCGCTCATTCTCCCACCCTCCACCCGACAACATGGCTTGTGCAGGTTCGCGGTGGGCATCACTTACCACAGCACTCCCAAGCACGAGTGGATGGGCAAGAACCCTTCGTCCTGGGTGCTGGGCCGCTGTAACAACTCCTGGGCGGTGCGCGGCAACGGCAAGGAGGCGGCGCTCGAACCCCGAGCCCACCTCCGGCGCCTGGGCGTGCTGCTCGACTACGACGGCTGCCTGCTATCGTTCTACGATGCGGCCACGGCGCAGCACCTGCACTCGCTCTCCATCTCCTTCGTGGAGCCCGTGCTGCCGACCTTTGCCGTGTGGAACCGCTCCATGAGCGTGCTCACCGGCCTTCCTGTACCCGACTACATCGACCAGGATGACCAGATGCCCGAGTGAGTGTGGCCTGGGCCGCTACCCTCCAAGACCAGACGCCGGTCGAGCGGCCATCCACCACGCCATCGCCATCGTTGCTCGGCAAGCTCACGGTGGCGAGATGTTAACTACCTCGCCTGGTATGCAGGAGGTCGTGGGTTCGAACCCAACCCTGATGCCTGTATATTTGGAGTTTGCATGTGCTCCCCGTGCTCGTGTGAATTTTTCTCCGCGTCCTCCAGTTTTCCTTCCAGATTTAGAATCAACATGCGTTTAGAGTGTTTGGCTACTATAAATTTCCACGTGATAAGCCACTTCGTTGAGCTATGATTTGTGGCCAGGTCGCTTCTGAAAAAAGAGCATAGCTCAGTGGGCCTTACCTGGAAAAAAAATGAAATAGTTTAATAGTTCATAATACAGGTTTTTTGGATTAGATTGTGTAAATAATTAAAGAAATGTCGTGAAACCCACCACCACCCAACACAGACAATTATTAAGGTTTGTCACATAAGCAGAACATGCCAATTCGTTACTTGTAGAGCACACCGGTGTGTCCACAGCCACTCTCCCCAAGAGCATCAGACGGACAAGTTTAGCACACATTCCTAGCTTGTGGCACAGACACAACCATTCCGAACTTTCAAGAATGAAGAGCTTTGACATCTGTATGTTATCCCTGGATGCATCACTGTTCAACCGTTCAGCTGCCTGACCTGTTTATCAACAACGATGGATATGCTTCACCAATTCAGCTGCATGCCCACTTAGTCGTTTACGATTAAAAAGGGACCACCACTGTCAAGAACACCTAAAGTGGCGTGCATGCAAAGGTTGAATGCCAAGCTTGGATGACAACATAAAATAGACATTTATATATGTTTTAACATTGGTAAACAAACAAAAAACCCACGAGTTCACTTGAACAAAACATTAAGCACGTTTCTGGAATAATAAAATGAGGCCGTAGAATTCTGTTTTACTCGTGGGAAAACATCACCGCACGTGTGGAATTGTTGGTCGAAACGAGGATTGAATCTACTCAACTGGCAAACTGCATCGCAGCCAACGGGAGCCCGACATGTCACACGCCGCTCCAATAACGATGTTGAAAAGAAATGTCGTCATGCACAGACTGCGTACAAACATAAGTATTTATCCAACAACCCCAATGACATTCGTGGTTTTACTCTGCGAGGAGAAAATTCGTAGAATGTGGCTTTGTTTGGTATCATAATTGTGAATTATATTAGACCTTTATTTATAAGCTGGTGAGAGCCAACTGAGGCAACAGGACTCATTTGCAATGGATATGTGCGATTAAAGACAACTGTAACTGTGAGTTGGCACATTGTAGCAATAGAGCAATGGAGATATGTAATATTCAATATAGAGTTAATATTGAATGTGTTTGCAGTGGCAGCGTATAGCTCAAATTTCTCCATGCAATACACTTCGAGCCTTGGATATTAAAGTCTGAGGAGACAAGTTCAGATTATTAATTGATGAACAGAATGTTAAGGCACAAATTATAATGTCTGGGTGCTTATCATTCCATAGATCAACACACCCAGGAAGCTACGATGACTTCATGTACTATGAGTAGGATTGCCACAGTGTGGCGAAACGATGATATATTGTACAATATGAGATCTACACTAATCGTATTGTCCTTTTTTCTAAATATCATCATAACCATATTATTGTTGCTCATTCTATTTTGTTCAGTATTGAATTTTCTGACAAAATGTTAGTAATTGTTAAGTTACAATGATTATAAGACTCATTGCAGGCATATGTTCAGCGAACTGCATTCGAATAACTTTTAAGCAATCTTCATTCGAGGTTCAAATGCATCAATATACAAAAACAAGGCGATACAAATTACAAAGTTGTTGCAATAATCAACATTTCGTGATATTTAAAAGTGTTGTTGTGAAAAGTTATTACAGCAATCCTAGTCGATCCCCGTTGTGCATTTGTAAGTCGAAAACAAATACTGTCGGGTGAATAACATTTTGTTTGTGCAGTGCTTTCCACAGGGCTCCAAGCAGTCACGTGACCACACCACTAATTTGATTCATGGAGTGCCATACTCTTTAGGTGAAACGCATATTTTAAAACCAGGACACAACCTGTACAAGTGAATTATGCAGTTACGATCCACACAAACCCATGCTTACTCAAAATAACATTTCCGTCTACCTCTGGCTAATTACTACAATTTGGGATCAATAGACACATGGACCGTGCAGTTAAAATCTATATTTAAGAAGTAAATATTTTATTTTTTGCAATTCCACGAATAAAGTTGCCCCAATCAAGCATCTATGCATCACTATCTCACTACAAGAGATAACATTGGGTCTATACCTTCTTTCATTGCCAACAACATGTCAAGAGAGTTGGCCTATATCAGTGGATTGATGCACAAGGCGGGCATACACTCGGAGTCTATGTATTCACAAAATGCATGGGAGAATTGAGTGACCATATTGCACAGAGGGTCATCATCATCAACAGCCATGAACTAATATCCAACGCTGGATGAAAGCTGTCACCATCCCTTGTGGTCTCGCAATGCAACAATCCATGTAACTCCAGGACATGAGCTGATCTCATCACTCCATCTCCGTGGTGGACGCCATCTCGGGGGTGTTCCCTCCTTTTTCTGCCACTCCTTAATATTGACCACCATTGAGTCATGTGTCCCACCCAAGGCCACTTTTCTTAACGGCCAACATAAAGCTTATAACTTGTATTTGTTCTCTGATCCATGCAATCCTGTCTCTCAGTGTACTTATTCTTCAGTGTCCATGTATATGATGCATGTCATAGCAGGTAATATACATTGATTAAATATTGAAATGAAATTATCTGCTGGAGGGACACAGAATATGTGCACTTATTGGTGGTCGGCAGGGATACAAATAATGAAATTAGGTTGGCGAGAGCAGGTTGGAATGCATTTGGAAAACTAAACTTGAAAACTAAAAGCCACACCCAGAGTAGGCCATGGATAATGCAATGCCCTTCAATGTAACAACCCAAGGTTAATTTTCAGTCGTACTAAAAGATTAATGCTGTACCTCATCGCAGGCGTGGCATTAAAACATTTACAATCTGTACCCACATTTAAACTTTGTCTTGTTGCATCTGGAAACATTTTAAAACAAAGGACAGATGCAAAGACGGCCATGAATGTTATCATTCATTGTCTCTTGAAAAATTACACAGCCTGAGGACAACATACTTATCGCTGTTTGTTAGATTAATTTTGACTCGTGGGGAAAAGCGCACCGTACATAAAACATAAACTTAACAAAGATGCGTGTTACATTTTTTTTTATCTCCGCAGCTATCGCTGGTGTCTCGGGGTGCCGATCTGTTGACAGATGGTGTGGATGTTGTGAGTGCCAGGATATGAAAGAAAAAGTCCAAAAGGGCACATCTCGGAAAGTAGCTAGAGGGTTTAAATAATGTAGGTGGATGGGTGCAGGAACCACATCAGTGTTGGTCAGGGGCCACTCTCAAGTACTGTATAACGCCTGAATGCATGCATGGCCTTGACAGCTTTTCCACACTCTTGCACCGTGACGTGGCAATTTTCAATGCCCAATTCGTGACATGTGCTTTATTTGTATTTGTAGTTTCTGTCGTGTAGTTCGCATTACATTGGCTCCATCACAATTTTTGTTAAATATAACATGACACTTTAAAATAAACGATTGTTAATGTTAGAAAACATCAAATTTACTATAGATGATGCACTTCTCGATAATAACATTCACGAATTTAAATCTGAGTGCATGAACTTGGTGGTGTGTGGACGTGTGCAACAGCATAGTACTGCCATACAATGGTCGTGGCAAAAACAAACAATTACAATCCTTTGTCAATCCACTGTTGGATGAAGGCCTTCCCACATCATACCGGTCATGGGAATTATTTGGCCATGCTCCACCACGATGTTTAGTGTGAGTTAGTGAAGGGAGGGTGGGATGTTCGATTCTAAAATTAACTCTGGTAACGGGGTTCATGAAACGGTGTGCTAACCACTGCCCCCCCCCCTCATTAGTCATGATATTGTATTAAAACATCGTTTATAAGGATATTTTCTGCATCTCAGGGCCCAAGCATGTGTTTCCGAGTTCCGTGGTCCCTTGCTGGATTTTGTCCCCCATACCAGTCCTTGCAGAAACCAAGCAACCACACCCACCAAACGGGTACTGGTGACAAGATGCAGGATAGAAATATAATATTCGTTGATTGATTTGAAATTTCTGGAGTGCAATTTAAGCTATGGATATTGATCTTAATTAGATATATGGAACGGATTGTATTATTTGTATATTTATGAAATGTAATGAAGGTCACTTTTGTAATTTAACAGGAATATGTTTTTGCATAAAATGTGCTTCACTATGGCAACAGTAAGTAAAATGTGGTATCATTCAAATAATTGTAGTAATATCGCAAAAATACAATAGTTCCTATTTAGTTTTAGTAGAGTATGAGTATAATGTATCATTATGTGATCACTTATATTTTAGCATAAGATTCACTTGCATAAATGTAATAATGATTTACTCGTAGAGTAATGCCACTGTCACTTTTAATTATGAAGCACTGTAATGCTTAACACATACGTAAGATTGAAGTGGGGGAAATAGACGCATTATCACCAGGGTTTGATGAATGTTATGAGTTTTGATACAACAGAGCTGTGGTTCTCATACTAGGGTCCTTGGAGCACACCCCAGTGAGCCGACGTTGTCAGCCATAATACAGATGAATGTATCCAGCTTGTATGGGAATGGATGGAACATGACAAGCAAGACTGGAGTCCTGCCAATAGACCAAAGTTTATAAGCCAAGTTTATATTACGAAGATAGAGTTGCTCTGTACATTAAAGTTTAAAATATGAAATTTTGGTTTAAAGCAATGGTGGATTTGCACACTAAGGGACTGACTAGGATTGCCACCTGTCCTGTTTTTCCAGAATTCATCCTGTTTTTGAGACGACGGTCCTGGGAAATCTGTACATCTTCCCAGGACAAAAAAAATCCCAGGTTTATTCAATTGAATAATAATATACCACTCAAGACGATGCATTTCAAAATCATAATCTTTATTTATCCTGGAGAAATCCGATGAGCTATGAAGCTCTTTTTCACAGATATCCAGTAGGGGTGGGT